CCTGCCTGCCTGCCTGCCTGCCTGCCTGCCTCCCTCCCTCCCTCCCTCCCTCCCCCTCCCCCTCTCTCTCTCTCTCTCTCTCTCTCTGTGTGGGGGGGGGCAGTGGTGGGTTTCAAAAAATTTTGGAAGCTCTTCTGTAGGTGTGGCCTGCTTTCCAGGTCCACTGGTGGAACCTCTTCTAACCGGTTCGGTAGATTTGACGAACCGGTTCTACCGAATAGGTGCGAACTGGTAGGAACCCACCTCTGTATCATTCATTCCATGAGCATTCAAAGTTACAACAGTGCTGAACAAATGATGTTTACGACAGTCTTTGGAGTTCTGCTCTTTATGCTGGTTTGAGTACCCCAACCCCCCAAATTTTTTGATTTGATTTCTTTCCCTTGTTCTTACTCATGGTGGTTTCCCTCAAGCCCTGCATAGTGATTCATTGTCTTTACAGTAGTGGAAAAAAAGATGTGACAATTTATTTGGCGAAATGTTTAGTTTCATAACTGACAAACCCAAATAGTCTTCTTAATCCCCTTGAATTGTCAATTGTAATTTTTCATCTTTTCTCTGCCTAGAACTTGTGATGCAAGAATAAAAGCTGGAGTTTGTTTTGCAATCTGTAGAACTTGTGAAGAAATTACATTTGCGTAGATGAAATTTAAGTTGAAAACGTTACACGTGTAGGCCTGGTGTTAGCAGCTGTCGCCTTTTCCAGTGACATCCTTAAATCTCCAGGCAGAAAAATGTTTTTTGCATATGTTCTCTCCCACCCTCTTTAACATAAAACACTGGTTTATTATCTTGACATAGAGAAATGCTCAGGCATGAAGTCCATTAGGTAAAAATGCAGCTGGAACACATCACGGTTAATTTCCCAGAGCTGACATGCTACAGAGTTGCCTGGCGAGTGAGGAAAAATATAAATTGAATAAATTTATATTCAATTCAATATGTTTCAACCAGATCCTTTCCTGTCCATTAGAACTGTAGTCATTGTAATCCATTTAGAAATTATTGCGAATCAATTAAATCATATAGCTGTAAAATACGGACGATGAAAGATCTCTGAGGGAAAAACCCCATCATGACCAGTGGTTAAGGTTAAGGTTAAGGTTTAATGGAGTCCTGAAGGACTCCGGGTGGCTTACATAAAAATAATTTAAAAATATTTAAAAAATTTAAAATACAAGGCAAAGCGAATTAAAAGAACACAACATGCACTCAATCTTAGTGGGGCTGGAGCCAGGTCTTAATAGACTTTCAGAAGGCTGAGAGAGTGGGGAGGGTCCAGATCTCAGGGGGTAGATCGTTCCGTAGGGCCGGAGCAGCTACAGAGAAGGCTCCCCCCCGAGGAGCTGCCAGATGACATTGTGTAGTCGACAGCCCCCGGAGAAGGCCCATCCTGTGAGATCTTATTGGGCACTGGGAGGTATGTCGCAGGAGGTGGTCACGGAGATATCCAGGTCCTAAGCCATGTAGGGCTT